CCCAACAAGGTGTTTGCCTCGCACAACCAATACACATTACTGATGTGTATATTCCATGAAATGGAAGAGTGGTAATTTTCTTCGATTATTTGCCTTCTTCGTGACATAACAACCCATCAGTTAACCCACTAGAGGCCCTCACGTAACAAAAAGAAAAAAGAAGGAGGAAAAAAAAAAAAGGAAAAATGAAGACTCTCATGCTTCAAGGGGCCTGCATAGCACAGATCTGTCAGATGGCCTTGCCCCATGGTGCTCTGTCCCGCCCGCCACCTTTATACGTATCTGAACGTCAAGCGGATACATTCACATGATCTCTGTTGTGGGTATATATGCAATGGGCGATGCTAGTTGTACCTGTATTGGTAGACAGTACCGTGGTCGCTTCATATTATGTCTTCCCATAACTCGAACAGTGAAGTCAGGTATACCTCTCACTTTTATCTCGTCCTTCTAAGTCACACCATTCTTGAAGGCATCTCCTTATCACTCCTTTCGAAGAAATGGACACCTCAGAGGTAGCATAAACCCCCGAGGTGAGTTCGGGTGGTATCAACCTGGATAACCACTCAGAGGGGCAACTGACACAGTCTGATTGAAAACTCTATCAACATAAAAAAGAATGCAGAGACTTAACAGGTCGACAAAGACGAGGTACTTGGCTAATCTCCAACATATCATTTACATCTATTGATTTTATATAGCGGAGATATCGCTGCAATTTCGAGGTTACGCAATACAACACAAAGCCCATGAGTTCGTTGTGCAAGAGACCAAATATCGATAGTGCAAACTAATGTTCCAGTGGGGAAGCGTATGATGAGTCCTTTACTGTGTGTAACGTAGTAACGGGAATAGGATAGAGTGTGTAGGAGGTAGTATTGCATTACATCCCCTTATCAGACGGGAGAGGATCCTTCATTGGTAGAGGATGTCGAGAGCAGCTTAAACAAAATTTCCCACAAGCATGCTTTGGAGGTCAAAATCCATTCATAAAAGCCTGGATGGACACTTGTCGAGGATAGCCTTGTACGTCTGCATTGTCTCTGAAAGCGAAAGTTTGTGATGAAGATGCGCCACGAAACACATGGCTTTATGAGAAAGAAATGTCATTATATCTCCTCGGTAAAGACTCTAGAGCACGATATGCTCCTGAGAGATATCAGACGGTAGGCATACTGCTGTCAACGGCCCCTGAAACTCTTTGCTACATTATGTAAAATATTCCTCTGAAGCAACCAGGCGGATGCTGTCTTTACCATGCAGGATCAAACCGGCCTCTCTTTTGGTGCATATCAGGATGGCAGCATGCTTTTGGGCAGAAGTGTCGTCAAACTTTTGCGGGATGCAAACGTGACAAACATTCTTCCAATATCAAATGAGATGAGCTTATCACCATGCTTCTGTCCTTCATGGAATGCTAAGTCGAGCATTTCCCTTTTCGCCAATTTGTTATCTACACTACTTACAGCAGCGAGAAGTGACAACCAGATTTAGCATATGGAGGTTATCTACCAATTCAGAAGGCATAGAATTTCACCCTCAGAAACTCGATTTTCCCTAGATGCCACGACTAGGAAATGTCGAGCCATGCACGGAGGATACCGACGCTCATCTGGTGGCTGTCTCCCCAACTTGATAATGACTCTATCCCAAGGACCACAAGAGAAACCATGTGCGGGGTCACAGCGGCGAGGCTCAACTGTTACTCAACCTCATCCCCTCATATCTGGACCACTGGTAGTGATAATTGGAATAATTCCAAGTCAAGCCAGTTCCAGTTTGGACAAGTGTGATTCACACATCGTTCGAGCTCTGCAAACCTTGTGTCGAACCACTCGCAAGAGTGTGGGCTTCTCGGGATTCGTATACTGTTGTGCGGTGTCGTCAGAGTACATTTAATGAGGGATGCGATGCAATCACGTTTGCGAGATGGAACACAATTCCAGAGGACAACTCTCTATTCCCCAGGACATTCCCGTCACGTTTTTGGTAGACGGGCATCTGTTTTATGTACAGATAACAAGAACCGAAAAGACCAAAGCCTGAATGATGCCCAAAATGACTCCGCGGATGACGACATAGAAAAGAAGCTAGACGCATCCGTCCCTTTCCGTTTCGTGACCCCTTCATACCAAACGTAACCAGAGCAGAGTGGTAGTCAACCATGATGCACACAAGGCGGGGGCTTAGAGCGCGAGGCCATCGTGACCCGGGCTCGTCCATCACCATCCAGTCCTCAAACACATGGTATCGGCTGCTCTCTCGATGCCGATCAGAGCAGAGACGCTTATGAGCCGGGGTTGGGGTTCATCTGTAACCATGTTAGCATATACTGTTTTACAACCAGTAGCATGGCTGTTGATGCATGTGTGGAATATCAGCCTACCTTTCTCTTGCCACCGGTCAGAGTGACGTTAACGAAACGACGAGTGTACGTCAGTCTCTTCTTCGCACGACCCTTAGGGGTCTTGGTCTTCTCTTGCTTCTCAACCTGTTGGACCATCAAGTCAGTGCACTGGTCTTCAAGAATCCATATCCTGGTGCTGCCATTTAGGTTCTGGTTTGTTGATAGAGGAGCACGCCGTCATTCTGCTTGGCGTTGTCGTGGAAAAGTTTTCACTGCACGCTGGCTTGGTGGCGAATTTTCATCAAAAATCAATCGAATTTCATCGTGACCGTGGCGTGGTTGATATTAAATCGATCGTAATGTCGTGGAAATAGCAGAGAACAACAGCGCACCCTCATCGATAATCCAGTCATCGCGGCTCGTGGGTTTTCGCGGAGTGTCATCGTACCTTAGGAGTCTGAGACTTGACCTTGCTGTAAGTGCGATTGTCAGCACACAGTTTACATCACATAGGGGAAAAAATTCTTAAAAAAAGTTCAAGAGCATATTAACTTACCCAGCACGGGCGAGGGAACCGTGAACTTTACCCATCTTGTGAGATTTGTGGTGTTGTTGAGATGCTAATTTGTCGATGAAGTGGAAAAGTTGAAGGAGGGTTGAGCGGAAATATGTGGCCGGCCTGGAATATCGAAATGCACAGGTGGATTTCGTGATTTGCCTGTGTGGGAAAATGTGGGCTGGGAAATGGGGAAAGAGTCATGCCGACAAGACTACTGAGCCCAGATAGTTCGGTTTATCGCATGGCCTTTTCCCCCTAAGCTGAGGGACTAACGTACTTATCCGGGTTATGTATATGTCAAGATCTGCAGCTGCACTACAGATGGCAACCTAGGGCGGCACTCCGACAGCTAACCCCAGCACAGCAACCTAGCTTAAAACGTCGCTTGTCAAAGTGTGACTACAACGCGACAAGCGTGTGTGGGCCATAACTTTGCGTTGAAGATTGCTCGCATCACCTGAGTATATCGTAAAGCCTACCGCTGTGCGAGAATCAACATGCTGCAGGAGGGGAGAGTTCGGCCTCTTTGGCTCAACTGTCCATATTAACATTTCCATTAGGGATAACTAAGTTAGGGCCTCTCTTGATCATATGTAGATTATCAGATCCAAACGCCTCCGATAACGCCCCCTGCAGACTACACGCTAAACCATATGCGGTATCGAGTCGTGCCATGATGCAGCTCCAAACGTGATAAGACCCCCGAGATGGCCAGACGTGCGGGCCGTTGAGACGGAGCTCTGGATGATACAACCTCCGAGCGAGCTTTTTGTTTGTCCATATCTTGCAGTATATATAACCTATCATCGACTGAGAAACATTTCTAGTGTCCCGCCGCTTTTTGTGCATAACTGTTCTCTGCCCGCAGTCCTTAGTCTACTGCTGTTTGACGCTGGGATAGCTTCGCCCCCTGTATCGAGTTACAATGAGGCTCTCGACTGGTATATCGCTGCTGGCCAGCGCTGGTACCTGGGCTACCGAGTTCACCCCGCAGCACATTTTTGAGAATCCGCCAGCGCCTGCTACTCAGTTCAAGATCCCGACTCCTTACGAATCTGCGGTCCAGGGCCGCCGGATCCTGGCTCTGACACCTCTGGGCACTCTGTCCACTGTTTTTCCGTCCTCATCATCCAAGGATGTCTCAGGCCAGGAAAACCGTCCCTCTGGGTTAGACGGTATCCCAATCGGCCTCGTTGATTATGTTGCCGATTGTGAGGATTCTGGCAATCCCACAATCCTCGCCATCAACATCGCCACCTCGTTCAAGAACGTGGCCGATGGATCTAATATCAGTTTGGCGTTGCAGTGGGCACCACCTTATCCCCCGGACAAGCGTATCAAGTCGACCTTTTTCAGCCGCTTCTTCGGCCGCGAGGATAAGAAGGAACCCGTGCCCTATTCGGCCGCTAACTTGCCTCGATTTTCCATCATTGGATACCTTGAGAAGATGGATGAAGCTTCTGCAGGAGCTGTTTCGTCCTGTTTCGTGGATACGCATCCTGATTCCAAGTACTGGCTTCCTGGAAATAGAATCCACTCATCTGAGTTTGTCAGACTTGTAGTTCAGCAAGTCTACTGGATCGGCGGCTTCGGTGACAGGGCCTACATTGGCTGGCTGGACGTGGATGACTGGAAGAGTGTCACGAAGGATGAGTGGGAGGCTATCCGACTGCCTGGAGAAAAGAAGGGATGGAATGAATGGAGTGCTTGGGAGTTGTAATCACAACTGACAGCTAATCTCTTTGGCAAGCAGTACTAAGTACATAATCACACATCGTTGTTTGCTGCAAAGCAACATCTTCAGTATATGGAGACAGCGGCACAAAGTTATGTTCTCCTTTTTTGGTTACACAATTTGGTCCAGCATATACAAGTCAAATATACGTCTGTCAAACTGCTCTTTCGGAGCAGTTATAAACTCTAATGCATCTCTGATTCTCCCATGAAGGTTCTGCTATCATTTAAAGGCTTGGATAATTACTTCCCAAAACAAACGAAGAAACAACGCTTAGTTGGTGACGAGTCAAAAAAAAAAAAAAAAAAAAAAAAAGCTTAGGTGGGAGACGCAAAAAGAGACAAAAAGAATTAGAATCATGACAAGAGGGGGATTCGAACCCCCGCCTCTTGCGAGACTGCAAACCTCTACGAGGCTTAAGATATATCGTATCTTGAGTGCAGCGCCTTAGACCGCTCGGCCATCTTGCCTTTGCTTGGGGAACGATTCGATCTTATTTTGGCCCATATTTGGGTGGGTAACTATTGGAAAAAATTTAACGACCCCACTCAATAGTCTGAACATCCAAAGCTGTTCCTTGATTCTGTCAGGCGACCTTGCACTGTGACGGAAATTCTAGCTTAACTATATCAAGCTTCTATTCCAATAGTGAGCTGAAGCAGGTACCGAAACTAGAAGTTGTACTATTCCTTTTCCAAGATCCCCATCGGATGGAATTCTTTTTGAAATCTACCTTCTGTTGCGCTTCCTTAACTGTGGAACCACTATCACTGATGTTGCTGTATTCCTTAGTCTGAGAGAGTGTGACTTCTTCGACTATATGTTTTCTTGTTGGAATATAGGTTTATTGGTTCTCGTACGAAGTAGTAGGAATAGACAGTTACCAAGCGTACGCATACAGTCGTACGAGCATAAGATGCCACCGTACGAGTGAGAGGGGAACCTCCCCTCCTTTCGTACGATGCGCCAATAGAGATATAATTGTCGACACCAAATAGATTCGCATGAATGTGCAAAAGGCCATTCAATATTTCTAATATAATTGTTGCCCGAATGGCTCGCCGTATCAGTGAATTAATTAGGAATTGCCCTTGTTGGCGCATTGTGGTTATATAGGAGAGCTCGAATAAAAAGTACATCCTTTCATATCCCTTCGTACAATGTTGAAGTAAATGAGGATGGTTCAAGCATGTGGATTGTTACACAGGACACAGACATTCCCCTTTACTTCTCGCTCAACTTATGTGAAACCTTCGGAACAATATAGCAGAGGTTAGCTTCTCGCAGTCCTTTCCAAGGCTTCAATTTAAAAAGTGCCACCACTGGGAATAAGGAATATCCTGATATCTGTTGTTAAGAAACGAACCCTAGGCCATGTATAATTTATCATGTGCGTCGAAGAACTAGGAGGAATTTGAATTCAATCTCTTCAAATTCTAGTGCGCATATATGTGTTCTTTTTCCGACCCATTGTTAAAAGGTCCATGGCATATCTGTGCATGGAAATGCAGTGTGCCTTGAGGTCATTCCTCGGGGAACATTACATGGAGCACGGGCAGCTGCAGCACGTAGCAGACCGCTCCTGTTGAGCCTCCTTTTAGAAGAAAATTATCATGATATGGAAGTGTACGTAATTAAATAAATGCTTGCCTGTCTGCCTCCCAGTGAATGATTGCCCAATTGCTCGTAGTACCTCAAAATGCCTGATTGCTACACTGCACCCCAACAAATACGACTAATCGTCGAGCGGTAAACCAAACGACAGTCCACAGTCCCTTTAGAGAAATGGTTAACTCGCCAGACTCCTAATCTGGAGATTCCCGGTTCGAGTCCGGGAAGGGATGATATGTTTTATTCTGCGGTTTATCCTTTTTTCTTGCCATACCTTTTTGGTTGCCCCCATTCACATATCGTCCGACCATACTTATTTATCAACAGCTTTCATTAATAGTATGAAGATGCTAAGAAACTGCTCTGGCATCTCATTTCATTGATTTAAAATTCAATATATGGTTGTACATATACTTCATACGACCAAGAAGTCAGATCCGACACCTTTCAATCGCATCAGCCAGTCGGTTTCTATTTTTGAGACTTCATTTCCATTTTCTGGAATGTTGACTTTCGATAAGCCGTTTGTCAACTCTGTGGCCCCATCTCGAAGGCTCCATATCTGGTTCAGCGTTTCGATTGCTGAGATGGTCATCCCCCAGGGGCATAGGTCCCACATCGTGCGTAGACGCTCAAGCACCCAATCTCTGCGCTGGGGGTTTGTGGTGGCAACCCCCATCACAAAAACCGGCCAGGTTGCGTATTTATAGAACGGGCTATTCTGGGGGATAGCAGAAAGCTGCTGCAGGGCAACAACTGTCAACTCCTCAGTCGTGGGCAGGGAGAACGGTAAAAATGCCACATCGCTGGAGGCTGTCATCTTCTCCTGCAGATAACGTTGCAATCCTGGGGCGGCTAGAAGCACATATAAGCAAGTCGCCGCACGATGAGTTGCGCCAATGCAAGTCCTCATTCGAACTTCAACCTCGTCTATGGCTGCGATGTGAGAATTTGCCTGAGAGATCCTAAGAGCCCACGCTTCCACATCAAATGACTGTGCGTCCCTGAGGACTTGCACAAACGAATCCATTTCCGCGGGCGTCGGCGTACTGGACCCCCGCGAACGAACTGCCCGGACCAGCCGAGATGTCCGAAGAACGAGGAGCAGCAGGACCACTGGACAACTGTGGTAGCTGTTGGCTTCGGTGCGAATCAATAGTCGCTGAATATCGGCTATACCAACTCCAACCGTGGCAGAAACTGAATCTGAATGCGTGAGGGACTCAAGGGCTCTTCCCCAAATATGATATGAAACAGTGTCAGAGACAACATAGTCGCGTATGCTTACTGGTTCTGGGGAAGTTACATCAAGGTTTTGATAACCGATGCAATCAAACTCGGAACATGACACAATTGGTGATGTTACAGACACTGGTGAAGAACTCCCCGAGGACAGTTCTTCCACCAAGGGCGTATAATCGATGGAGGGGTTGGAAAGCTGCGCAGCAATAAGTCTCCTCGCTGCGTTCAGGTGTGCTCTCCAGCCACCTTTACCAGAATCTATCAAGGAGAAATTGATGAAGAAAACTATAGTCGAGAGCAATGCATCCTTCTCATCTACATTGCCAGCATGGTCGCCCATGATTCTGTACCTCCCTAGAACACACTGCAGTGTTTTGATCGCCTTATGTCGTGCACGGAAGGCCACAACCAGAGCATCAGCGGCAGCTGGTGCGGAGCATGGTCCAGCGGAAGCCGAGTACCGAAGGGCATTCGAAAAATGCAAGGCTGAGGATGCGACCAGGATGTGCTGAAGGAACGGATATATTGTGGACATGGCAATGAGCTGCCTAAATGGATTTCCGACAAGCTGCATTGAATCATGAACCACAAGTTCTTCGCAGACACGACTTGAAACTGCATTTGTAGGTTGGCAACGAAAGTCACGACGGTCGACGTAGGGTTATTGCTGCAAACTTACAATAGTTCAGATAGAACCTCGACGTCTCATCCATATGACAGAAGAGCGGGTCTATCAGAGTGACGGACAGCTTATTATTCCCCACGAGGCCCGCCAGTGCATGGGCTTCGCGGTGGACGGGTGCGTGGATAGCGGCTGACCTGGGAGGGCTCTCATGAACCTGCATGTGAGATGACTCGAAGGTCTTCTTCCCAGCCATTCGCCCTCGGGAGGCAACGGCGTTAGTCCAGTGGTATATCTTCCCATAACCAAGGCAGTCCTGCCCGGAAGCAGTGCACTTGATACAGCTGGGAACTGAACGATCACACCTCAGCCGGCGTTTGTGGCAATTGTGGCAAGGCTTCGATGGAGGAGGCATGGCGATGGAGATTCATCCAGCCGGGGTTCCGCGGGCTAACAGGATTATTTAACGGTACCGCTGCCTTACATGTTTCAACCTCACTGGTGATGCAAAGCGCCTGAAGGTCAAGTACGGATATCTCTCCTAGGACCCGGGAGCCGAATAGTGGATGCTCAGTGGCGTTGACTGCTCGAGTACCGGACCGCGAAGACGGTGGTCCAGATCAGATCGATGGAACAACTACTGTAACTAGCGGCGCTGGCATTAGCCCCATCCGCAAAGTCTTTTCGCGCCCTTTCACCATCTGCTCTCAAGTCGACCCTGTGCCAACGGACGACACACAAACGTAGTTCACCGCGCTCTTGGTGATTTCTATTACTAATAGACCTGGAGAAAGTGCCGGCTTAGTATAACCGAGACTTACAGGCCAATGACGAGGTGCTTTTACTGCGAGCGCTATTCGGAGCTGGGCATAATCCAAAAAGAGAATAGCGCAAGACATTGCCTGGCCTTGCCTTAAATGGAAGCCAAGACGCAAACTGTGCATACAACCGGCAGGGGGGCCGAACTTGGATCCACATAATCTCCAGTTCATTGCCTGCCGATGAAAAATCAGGTGCTGTCATCGTTGCCACAAAGGAAAGCGATCGTTTTGCTCGCTGGGAGCCGCTGGCACGTCTAGACTCGTGGGTACGAGTGGATTCCAAGCCGCCTAGGATGGGTTCACGAAATCAAGCCGTCTTCCCCAAACGGGAAGCAAATTTGCAATGTATACATAAGCCTCCCCTCCGCATGCTCCTACGCTGCACCACACCCCAGACTTCATGACCTGGCCTGGTCTTGACCTTTTGTATATAAGAATCGTGGCCCAGGTAGTGGGCGTTATGGAAGGAGGGTAATGTATAACGAGAGAGAATGCATATGGGTTTTCACCAAACATTGAATATCTATATTTTTACTCACTCTTCTCACATTGGAGTCATCGAAACTCTCTACTTTCCCGTTCGGCGTTTAAGCCACACCCAATCGCACGCTGTCAACACCAGTAGCAGGGAGGGAAGAAGAAAGAAATAGGAAGGGAAGGGTAGGGTAGGAATGGCGACCCTAATTACTCCACAGGTAGTAGAGGATCCTGCTGCCGTGGAGAAGCAGTCGCTGCCCCCGGATGCAGCGGCGTATAGCAGTGGCGATGATTCACCCGAGAACCTGAGCAAGGAGGATATCGAACGACTGGGGCGGCAGCGGCCGGCGGTGTTCGCGAGAAACTCGACCGAGGTTGGCTTCGTCGTGGCTGTCATAATGTCCATGATGATGAGCGAGTATTGCATTAGCGGCTTCAACATCGTGCTGCCGACGGTCGCCGAGGAGCTCAGCATGCCCAACTCGCTGCGCACCTGGCCCGCCGAGGTGCCCAACCTGACCACGGCCGCGCTGCTCCTGCCCGCCGCGCGTCTGTGTGACCGCTACGGCGGCCGCATCGTCTTCCTCAGCGGTCTTGCCTGGCTCGTCGCCTGGTCCCTTGTCGCGGGATTCAGCCAGAACTCGACCATGCTAATCGTGTGCCGCGCTATGCAGGGGATGGGCGCCGGCGCCTTCATGCCCGCGGGCCTCGCCCTCCTGGGCCAGACGTACCGCCCCGGTCCGCGCAAGAACCTCATCTTCAGCTTCTACGGTGCCATGGCCTGCATGGGCTTCTACATCGGCATCTTCGTCGGCGCCGTAGCCGGCCAGCTGCTGACCTGGCGGTGGTACTTCTGGATTGGTACCATCCTGGCCTTCGTCAACGTCGCCATCGGCTACCTCACTATCCCCAGTGCTCCCGGCGATAGCAACCCCAGCATCCGCATGGACTGGTGGGGAGTGGCGACCATCGTCCCGGGTCTGGTCCTCCTCGTCTTCGCCCTGACGCAGGGCAGCAACGCCCCTAGCGGCTGGAAGACTCCGTACATCATTGTCACTTTCGTGGTGGGTGCCCTCTTCCTCTGCGCAGCTGTCTACGTCGAAGGTTGGGTCGCAGCCCAGCCGCTTCTGCCTTCAGAAATGTTTCGCCCCAAGTACATGCGACGTCTTGCTGCCGCAATGTTCTGCTCATACGGAGTTTTTGGACTCTACTTATTTTACTCAAGCTACTAGTGAGGCCACCCAACCCCTTCCCCATGTTCTCTCTTGTTTCCTCCGACTTGCGTTATAATCGAGATATCTTTTACTAATCGTGTATCCCAGCCTTGAGACCGTCCTCAACACCACTCCTCTCCAAACAGCCGCATGGTTCACGCCGATGGCGATGGGCGGTGTCTTCCTCGCCCTCACAGGAGGGTTGTTGATGCACCGATTATCTGGTCACGTCTTGTTGATCATATCCGGGCTAGGGTTTCTCCTCTCGGTCATCCTCTTTGCTCTCATACCCGATCAATCGGCTTCTGGCGAGCCCTCCAACACCTTTTTGTTCTGGGCCTACGTCTTCCCTGCCATGGTGGGCGGTACCCTAGGCGTAGACATCCTCTACAACGTCACTAACATCTTCATCACCACCTCCATGCCTGCTCGCCTACAGGCTACAGCGGGCGGCTTCATCAACAGTCTGCTGTACCTAGGCATGGCATTCTGGCTCGGCATTGGCGAGCTAGCCGTCTCCACGAACTCGCAGTACCGCGGCGAAGACGTCTCCTTGCGCGAGCAGTATCAGATTGGGTTCTGGACCGCAGTAGGTCTGGCGGGCGTATCGCTGTGTCTGTTCGTCACCATCCGGATGAGTGAAGCCTCCGCCGCGCTGACCGCAGACGAGAAGGCTCAGGTAGGATTTCCGGCGGCCGAGGGAGTCCGCAACAGCCCTGATCATCAGCCGCAAGAACCGCAAGAATTGCAAGAACCGACAGGGTCCACATAGGAAATAGATAATGATAAAATATTATTGAATAGAATTTTCAGCACATGCAAATATGCTAACAAGCTTTTCTCGATGGGTAACGTGG